GCGAGGCCGGCCTGGGACGAGTCTACACGGTCATCGCCACGCGGGGCGCTGAGTTAAACCCATCCCAGAAAGGCGTGCCATGTTGGTATCACAGAACCCAGAGGCTCCAATTCGATTGGAAAAGGGGCCTAGGGCCTTCAAACAACCTGGTTTTGAGACCCCAAACCACCTCCGGGGTGTCTAATGGAGGGGTTGGGTCTTCCCATTGAAAGCCCCAGGAGCCTCTGCGAAGTGAGATTCTACCGTTTGGCACTCTTGATCGCCGCAATCCCGTGTTTGCCCCAACTGCAGTTGCAGGCACAGCCTGAGGCATTCTGTCTAAGCGTAAATCTTGTTACTTGGGACTTTCACTTTTAGGGGTGACAAAGGTGGATTCTCCGTATTGGACCCACAAACAGTTATTCATTTTTTGAAAGCTACATCCACTCTTGGGTCCAAAAGTATCTGCCCAAAGGAAGCAAACACCTCAAGGCACCGGAGATGAGTGTAAGGGAAGCCTAGGCACCCCCTTCCAACAACCAAGCCTCTTGCAACAGTACCCCTTTGATCAGATGTTCTTAGGTGGGTCTACAGTCTTTGAAGACAGGCGTCAGTAGTTGTTGTTCTCACCACATTTCCCTGTGTCCCATGTTGGGACCCTGGGGACAGGCGTCGAAGGGGGGCCCACTTGGGGACCATACTTTTGGATTTGACCCAAAAAATGTACCAACTGCGCCGGGCGAATTGCCAGCCTGTTTACAGCATTTGGGCAAGCGTCTTGATTCTGAGATGCTCATGGGGGTTCACGTGACGGGAGACTGAGGGCCCGGGGTTTGGGGTGGGGTTTGGGGTGGGGTGGGGTGGGGTGGGGTGGGGTTTGGGGTGGGGTGGGGTGGGGTGGGGTGGGGGGGTGGGGTGGGGTGGGGTGGGGTGGGGTGGGGTGGGGTGGGGTGGGGTGGGGTGGGGTGGGGTGGGGTGGGGTGGGGTGGGGTGGGGTGGGGTGGGGTGGGGTGGGGTGGGGTGGGGTGGGGTGGGGTGGGGTGGGGTGGGGTGGGGTAGGGTGGGGTAGGGTGGGGTGGGGAGGGTGAGTGCAACTGGTGGGCTTCAGGACTCAGGACAGCAACCAGAACAAGAAAACCACCGGCATGTGCTAAGGGTTCTGAGTCCTGTCTACCAAGCAGGCCTCGCCCACTTTGCCATGGGGTTCGTCCGGGGTGCCATGTTTGCCGGGCTTTGCCTGACTTGCTGCTTGCTTGCATATCCCCATCAAACATCGAGACAAGCTGTCGCATAGGACAACTACAACGCCCAGCACAACCCAGCTGGACCCCAAATTGCACCAACATCAGAATCGAGTCAGGCAACCCTGCCGTTACTTGCAGCAATCCCCACCATATGAGCCTCCAAAACCCTCAATATTCGCGCCTCCATGCTGAGTGATTGCTCAATGGATTCACCTCCCATGATTGTTAGGCCCCCCCCCCAACAGGGGACCAGCCAAGAAGGGAACCCGATTAGACCCTATTAGTCGCTATTCGCCCTTATTGGGATCGGGGGGCCCTTGACAACCATAGGGCCCACTCTGTTGAGACGCATACTACAGGCATCTACGTAGACATGGCCATGGGTCAACACCCGTACCCCCAGTGAACATCCCAATCCCCACTAAAATAGATTAAAATGGGTGGTGCACCTACCCCAAAATGGGATCCCATTGGTTTTGACCCACACCCACATCCACTCCCATCCGCTTGCGCGTGAGCCTTCGCAAGGAAGGATGTGACGACCATGGGCGTGCGGCCCAACCGCGAGCCGCCGCAAACAGATGTGCAGGTGCGGGAATCGGAGGAAGCGGTACCCACTCGTGTTGACCCCAAAATAAGCGCAACCCCAGTTTATGAGTCGGGGGTGTCCCTGGGTTAAGTTGGGAACCATCACTTTGGGAGGGGAACACTCACCTTATTAATAAGCTGGGGTTGAGTATTTGGACATTGCTCAAGCGGTACCTTCCCCATTCTTTCCAGGGATCCTTGTTTCTAGGAAACCTCCCGAACCCAGGATAAGCCGGTGATCGAAAACAACGATGGTTGAAAAAAAGGAACCAACCCCTGCCTGTGTTGTCCATGTTGGACCAATCTCAACTCTTCACGGTGTGATGGCCCTCTATCCCTTCTCCCCTTCTTTGTGTTTCTACATTGAGGGAGGCTGCCTTGATGCATTTGCCATTACTCTGGATCTTTCGCCGTTCCTGAGCCACGCAGCGCGCCTCAACAGGGTTGGCACCCTGAGAGCGGCAGCCTGGGTCTGCAAAGTAGGGAAGGGCGGAGTTCCCTAGAAGAGCTCGTTTTGCAGTTGTGGATAACCCAACGAATCTGCTTGCTTTGTAGAATTTAGCTGTCTAGCAATCTGTTCAGAATGCCTGTGCTTTGCGCAAGAAGTTTCAACATGTGCAATGGATGTGATGCCTAACTGGCAAATCAACGTTGTGGATCCTTATCTGTAATACGCACACACAAACAAACATGCACCACTTTGAGGTTCCTTGTTGTTCGGCTTCTGACCTTCAATAGAATCTGGATGTTGCATTTCTTTTCACTTGTCTCTTGGACACACTCCCGTTCCAACCCGAAGAAAGCACAAGGTTTTCCCTTTCAACCCTCCCGCCCAACACCCCCAACACCCCTCCAAGCCCCCCCAAACCTCCCCAGACCCAGACCCCCGCAACCCCAACCCCCCCAACCCCCCCCCCCCCCCAGACCGCGTGTTTCTGAGATCCTGGCGGTGAAGACAAAGAGTTGGGCCGAGCAGCAGGGCATCCAGTCAGCGGACCATTTGCTGATGGCGCCTTGCCCCACGAAACGCGGGCACGAAGCTTTTGAGTTCGAGACCGGTCCGCACGTTTTGGTTTGAGCCCTTTGGTCTGATCTTTCCTTGGTTCCTGTTTGGGCCTTTTGGAATGAAGTGTCAGGGGTGAAAACAGGTTGGGGGGAATGTTGGAACGAGTGTGTATGGTTCGAGAAGACCTTCACGGTTGGTTTTTTGGGCCTTTTGGAATGACATGTGTCCTCTTTGGCGTGTTTTCTACGGGAGAAACAAACACATGCCTGGTTTACGTTTGGTTTCCTCTTAAAACCAGCCAAAAAGGACACCCTCGAAAACAAGACAAGCCCAATTGGTCAGCGATTTCTGAAGAGCCGTCATGGGAATTGCGTAAATGTGGAGGCTTGCCCGAGTTAGGTAGGCTGACGATAGGAGTTGGGCGTCCTACAAATCGATGAGAAATGGGTCCTGTCTGATCATAACTCTGTGTTGCAAATAGGCAGAATCGATTCTTTCCGGAATCAGAATTTCCTGCTTTCACAGATGCCTGGGCTGACCTCGGCAAGGTAGAATTGTGATGCTGAGGGGCGTGGTTCAGGGCGGGTTATGCTTATTGTGGATTGCAAAGCCCATGCCGATCGGCAGCAGTTGGGAGTGGTTGAGTATTAAACTCCGGTTCCAACCATCGACATGCTTGGGTCACCTTTCAGCTAATATTCCTGAACATGGCGATTGCTTCAAAGGACATGCCGCACGAGACCTCGTTCCCCGAATGCTCATGGCTTGAGATCAACCACAAGCGCACCACCACGCTGGCGCGGGATGAAGCTCGGTGGGGGGAAAAGCGCCTTCATGGCGATGGACGTCGAAGGCTTGCTAGTGTCACCTGCATGTGTGCCACTTCTGGTCGCAGTGCCCGAAGAGCATTCGATGCTTGCTGAGGCCGTTGGCATGTTGGAGGCATGACCCGGTTGGAACAAGTTGTGCTTTGGTCATGTTTGTTTTTGACCTTGGGAACCCTGTCACTAAAATTTGACAAATTGGCTACTCAGAGAGTCAGGCCGCAGAAATGAGTTTGGGCTTTAGTTGCAGTTGGCAGAGCACAGCCCAAAAACCCGGGAGTGACGAAGTTTACGTGCCATCCAATGAAAGCAGTGCCCAACTTTGCCGGGCGATCCCGTTTAAGTGCCGCCAAGATTGTGACAAATGCCGACAAATGGAAGACTCTGCACCCTTAAGGGGAAACTATGCTCCAGGATGTTTCTTCAATTTCCTTCTTTGATTTACCAGTGGCAGGACTAAATGGTTTGCACTTCAGATCCGAGTCAACCGCCCAAAACGCGCAGTTGAGGACCTTGGATGGAGAAGGCTTTGCCTGGGAATCATGTCTCTCCGTGGGCGAATCCTCCGCCACCGATTTTTTGGGGTAAAACAAGTGAAGGTCCTTTGCGTGAAGATCCGTTCTATTCGGACTTGTTTTTCCAGTTTTTCTTATGTGGGTGTGGGTCAAAACCAATGGGATCCCATTTTGGGGTAAGTGCACCACCCATGTTAGTCTATTTGAGTGGGGATTGAGATGTTCACTGGGGGTGCGGGCTTTTGACCCATGGCCATGTAAACAACTGAAGGATGATTTTCACACTTGACCCGGTGTGAGTACCTACCTGTATACCGTATACCGTCTGCCTTTTGTCAAAAAGATTTGCGAAGTGAGCCAAGGAGTACCACCGGCTCATGTCCTCTGTACGGCCATTGCACTTCACACTGGCCCCAAGTGTCTTGGCCGTGGATTTTTGGGGGGAGCGCAGGCGTTGCCTCCGGGTAGAGAGACAACTTAACTATCTTAGGTATCTCGGGGAAATCAAAGAAGCCTTGGACCAATGGTCAGTTTGACATGAATACGTTTTTTGGCGACTTCTGGAGGTTCAGCCGGAGGTTTAGGGCGGTGAGTCACAGATATAAAGAGATTCACCCGGCGAGTTGGCTGCATAGATGGGTTGACATCTTACAGCATGCAATCTGGATCAAGAGGCCGCATCAAAAGACTAGATATGTTGCCTTCAGCATGTTGCCTTCAGCATGTTGACTGGAGCTTAGTTAGAGTCGAAACTAGGTCTCTTCCCAAAACCCATGGCCATCCAAACTGTTGACGCAGAACCATCACGTGTTTTGAGCTGCTTGCCTCATTCGCCTCCGGAGACCAATTCTGCACAGTGCCCGGGTTGCCGGCCTTTTGTGTGCCAGCGTAGGGTTGGATACAGGCTGTTTTGGCTCGAGCAGAGCAATATGCCAAAGATATGGGGGACTACTTCTTGGATGTTGTGCTGCAAAAGAGCGAGTCCGGGCTCTTCAAGGAGCTTTACAGGCTCTATCCCTTAGCAGAAGTGGAGGACTACTTCAAGATGGGACGTTGGCAAAACGACCTCATGAAGATGGACATCCAGGCGTTCATGGCTCATTTGGAGGAGGCGGGCGCACCAGAGCCTCCCCCTTTGGAGGAGGTCAAGTTTCCCCCGTTACCGCCGGACACTGTGGCCCTACCCACTGCGCCCACCGTGCAGCCCAGGGCCACCACCGCGCCCGCGAAAACCGCCGCCGCGCCCGCGCCCGCGGCGACGGCGGCGACGTCGGTTCCGCCGGTGAACCTGCCAGTACTGCCGCCCGCAGAGTTGCAACAGCTGCTGAACCGCGGCCATGCTTGGCAAGTGTCTTTTGTTTCTTTTTGTTTGGCGTGCGCGCCTTTTTTTGGCAGCAAGAATGGTGCATCCCACCAATGTAGCGTTTCAGGGTTTCCACAGCTCGAACTCAGATGTGTTACTTTCCATTCCAACAACGAAGTGGATCTTCAATTTACAGGACGAAGCTAGGTTTTTGTCATGGCCTGCGAGCAAATATGCTACGCTTCAAGCACCTATTCCGATCCCTCCTGGAAGCCTTCATGCTTCGAGGAAACTCATAACATGTTGAATAGGAGAGTCAGGAAGATGATAAAGTCGGTTCGCCTTCAAATGGCGCAACTGCCATTCACAAGGGTCAGGCCCTGTTGCAACTGTGGGGGGAAACTGGGATCCACCAATCCGCCTGTGAGTAGTTTGCTTTTTTTTTGTGTTTTGCTCAGGCAGTTTGTGAACGAGCAGAAGCTGAACCTGACCAAGGCGAAGATGCTTTTGGCTCCGCTTCCAGCGAGCTTGCGTCAGGTGGTGATGAAGGACTTCGTGCCAGGAGAGGGCGACCCCTACCAGCATTTGGAGCGCTGCATCCAGGAGAAGCGAGGCTCGGAAGCGAATGGCGAGGCGACGCCAAAGCTTCCTGTCCCGCCGGTGGCTACACCTCAGAAGGTCGGCCCTCTGGCGCCGGCCGTGAAGCTGCCAGTGGGAGTCTCGCCCAAGGTTGTGCCCGTGCCGCCCAAAGGGGCAACTGTGCCGGTGCCCAAAGGCGTGACTGTGCCGGTGCCGCAGGGGCCCCACACTGTGCCCGTGCCAGCCAAAGGGGTGCCAGCTAGGCCCCAGGTCGCACCTCATCGGCCACAGATGGTGCCCGCGCCGAAGCCCTGCACAGTCACGCCCAAGAGCATGCCGCAAGTCCTGGGAGGTCCCAAGCGCCCCGCGTGGCAGGCGCCCTGGCCGAGCCAGCCGGAAGCGAAGCGACCACGCCTGAGGCCTCCGGTACCTGTGATGCCCGGGCCCGTCTGGTGGTGATGCCTGGGATAGAGTCGGAAAAAGTGCAAGGCAGATGGCTGACATGGATGATAGGCTTTGGGTTCTCTTCCAAATCGGCCCGGTCTTTTTTTTGAAGTTTGCACATCGGCTTTCATAGTTGGCAGCACGATTGTCCTGGTCAAAAGTATGACTTTGAAGATCATGTCAAATTTGGGCTGCGACAAGCATGCTCGCCTTCCGCGGACGCGTTTCCGAACTGGTGACGAGGTCACTACGTGACCGTTCCAACTCAGCCATATCTCGGAGTTTTGGGCACTTTTGGATTGGGGGGTGCGGAATGACCTCTAGTGGCCATAGTAGTCAAGGCCAACCCCAGAGATACAGCAAATCTAATTGCAAGTCTATTTCAGGCAAACGAGAAATCCGCACCCTTGCACTGGTTCCACTCAGGCCTTCTATCGTAAGGGTGTTGGGTAATGTGAGTCATGTGAGTCACAACAAAAAACACGGGTAGATGAAGGTTCGGGATAGTCCCAAGCATGGGTGCCTTCGCGGCCTGCCGAAGCAATTCTTGAAGCCGATCGGTTTGGATCATGGGTTCCTCATGTGGGGGTTTCTCAAAATGGCCATGGGTCACACAACCTATGGCGAGCCATTTTGGGGTGGAACACCCATGTACCACCTTTTTTGATGTTTACCAGAGGTGTCCTGGGTTTTGACCCACAGCCAAATAGGACTCGGATCCCACTTTTTTTGGAAGACCAAAACCGGGACACCAAAAGGAAAATTCGGAGGACTTGGCCTTCCCAGTTCTCAGAAGCTCAGGGCTTCCAAGGGGCTCTTCTGGCTCTCTGGCTCTCTGAATGGTTTCCGGCGGTTGCCTTGAGATTGACGAACCAATTTGTTTTGGTGTAAAGAACCAAATTGGTGTCTAAAAAAGGCATCCACCAGCTCCTTGCTCTTACACCACCTTTCAAAAGGCAGCAGCCGGCCCTTTAAGTTCCATAGTCAACTTGTGATTCTCCGGAAACGAGGCAGCGAGTCCGAGAAGCGGGAGGTGGCCGCCACGCGTTTGCAGCTCCTCTACCGTATGAGGTCAGCCGCCGGGGCGATGCGCGATGCGGGCAGGTCAGAATCTGGGGCATTGAAACGCCTCACTCTTGTCAGGTCTGGCTGGTTGGAGGCAACATGCACAGCTTTTGGGCAAGGAAATGCAACGGGTGTGGTTTGTTAAGTTTGCATGGGTAGGGCAGTGTGCAGGTAATAGGCTTTTCAAACTCCTAGCCTTATCCAACGACCGGTTGTCCAAATGTCGCGTTGCCCTACACAGGCTGAATATGTTCTTACTGATCCCAAACCCCTCATGTACCAGAGCCAGCAACCTCTTAAGCAAGCACCGCCCATGCGCGCCTTTGAGCTTCATAGTCTCACAGCTTCCCCGCGATGAAGTCTTGATAGCCCTGCAGGAAAGCTCGGAAGGCCATGAAAGAGAAGAAGGCCGAGCGGGAAGGCGCCGCGGTTGCTCGGCTCTCTGGGTTTGTCCTTTGACTTGGTACCAACCTTTTTAGGTGGCTTTAAAGGGAGACCAAACGAACAATCGAAGCCATTTTGGAGGTACCCCCAAAAAGACGAGCCACCCATAGAGACGGACGGTTGCAGGGCAAAAGGTAAGGCTTACAGTGAATGTCTCAGACTGCACAGAGGTCAGGAACCAACTGCATGCAAGGATGCCACTTATTGCTAGCAGGGCGTTGCCGTGTCTGTGTCTTTTGAAAGGGTCTTTGCTTTGCCCAAGCAACGATGTTTGTGCACTTGCTGTCATCATGGATCCAGTTGATGGACATTGTTGGCTAGCAAGTAATAGCTACTGTTGGGGGGTTGTTTCTGTATGATCGTACATTGTCCAATTTTACGTTTTCTTTGGCAACCTGTCAGAGTCACCTCACCAAACGTAGCTCGCGATAGCCTAGTTCGATCCCTTGATGCCAATGAACATGGTTGAACCATGAACATTCTCAGCTTGTTCAAAGCAAGTGCAATGAAGTATCTCGTGTTCCGACTTGACTGGATTCTTTGAGTGGCACAGGCTGGTGGATCAGCCTGTAGAGTGCACCACTCTACTTGTTTCATCTAAACAATGGCTGATCTAGCGCGATTTGGTTTATGCGGTATGCTATCGTGCATGGACGTTTGCAGAGGCGTTCAAGATGGCTGCCAGCTCAATTGTCTCAAGCGGGCCTTGGAACCACTGTTGGATTCCGCAATAGACGACAACTATGGACAACACGCGCTGGCTCGCGGCTCCTATTTCCAGCCCTAGCGCCGAAATGCCAGCCAAGTCCTGCTCAGTTTTTGTTTTGTGGGCTGCAACGCAGATTGCTCCAAGAGCAGCACAACATCTAACAGCAAACTTTCTTGTTGCCTAATTAATTTCACGTACCTAACTAGCCACGGGATGCTCGTGCGTCGAGCATTTTCTTGGCCTACAGCGCGCCGTCCCAGATAGGCGTGTGTCCGTGTCACACCCTTCCCAGACGCCTCCTTTGGAAGAAGGCATCGGCGGATACATTTTTAGTCTTGGCACATGCTTGGACGGACGAATTGAACAAAGTGTCCGAACCGAAGGAGCACAGATTCACGACCTGTCCACCTAGCTTACTTGTCACGCAAGGCTGGATTCCTGAACATGTGCACTGCCAGCAAACCAGGATACATTTCGGGGTACTCGCGGATTGTCACAAAATAGCGGAACACCCAAACTGTGGGGTGCATCTTGCTTACCTTTGCTGCAACCCCACTATACAAAGACACCTATATCTGGCGAATGGACTGCATGCCTTGCTCGTGCCAGGCCAGCCAAGGCGCGCGGGCAACCAAGCTGCGGGGAGGTTTGAACATTGGGCCAAGACCGCTGCGACACAAATTAATTGAACAGGACATTCATTGCACACCTAGGGAGGTACATATATTCGTTGAACAGATCAGTATCGTTTAGAATTGGTTCAGTTTCAGATCCATTCGGAAAAGTGCGCTCACTGCAGGTAATCTGACGGCCCCAAAACCAAACAAAACACATGGGAGTCGTTCTAAAGGTCCTTGTAAGGAGTTTAGTATTCGGTGACCATCGGTGTTGGTTGAGGTAGCTCCGCGAAAGATTCGCGATGGAGTTGCGAAAGTAACTTTTTTTCTCGCGACAGTTTTGCGTAACTGTATCTGGTTAATCAATGATATGTGGAACCGTTCATCTTTTCTGCTGAGCCTTCCTTCTATTCTGATTAAAACACTTTGTTGATGTTGCGCAAATTAAGCCTGGTGAGGCTACAGTTTGATACCCTGCTTGGCTGGTTAGTGCTCCAAGCCTGTGTATGTGTGTCTGTGGGTGTTAGTCGTTGGCTTTCCGCTCTGAAACGTGGGTGATTTTTCGCGAAAGTTCCGCGAAAGATCCGCGAAAGCCCGCGCGAAAGCGCAGGCTTCGATTGCAAGGGGAGGTATAGTCTGAGCGCCGATCTAGTCAGTATACTAGGTTGGTACTGGAAATCTGCGACTTCAAGCTGCAGCTGCACGGCGAACGAAAAGCTGCGACTTTCCAGCCGGCGCATGTCATGTACTACCCCTGTGATGAAAAGTTGCGACTTTACAGCTGGAGTTGGGAAATCGTCATTTCGCTTACAACGCTGGCACTTAAAAGCTGCGATTCTCCGACTCGAGAAATGAAAGAGCACGGCGATGAATCCGCGAAAGATTCGCGAAAGTAACTTTTATATTCGCGAAGAATGGCCGTTTCGAGACAAAGGAATTTAGATCAACCACCACATCCAAAACGTGCTACGTTCCGCGCATTGAAACAAGCTGGATGGGTTCCCAGAAGGTGACAGGCGCTCGCATGTGATGCTTTGGAGCTCCGCTGGCCGAACACCGACGCAAGGAACAATGCATCTTCCCAACTGCACGGCAGGTTTGTGGTCCTTGCTAGGGGAGGCCGGGAAATCCACGACTGGAATGCAAAGATGGGACAGTATGATGAATACCGCCGAGATCTAGCATACCTGCAGAGATGAGATGTAGGATGCTTATTATGAGCATAGATTGCCTCCCAATTCAAGAATAAGCCTTGCTCAATATAGAGTTGTTTTTGGGATGAGGTGAGACAATTCCATCAAAGACAGTCTTCCTGCATGCACAAGATGTGTTTCTTCCCATGTTTGAGCCAACGCACAAGTGTCTTTGTTCCCCGAAGAGCTTAGCTTTTGGGGTTCCCTATTCATGCAAAGAATTGCTCCCAGTCACGAGACGGTTGTCCCCACTCGTCTCCCCTCGTCTGCCTACTTGTGCTTGGCTCGGACCTTGTCACGGCTTGTCTCCCCACTTGTCTCCCAAATCGTCTCCCACTTGTCACCCACTTGTCTTCCACTTGTCTCTCTCCCAGCTTTCTGCGTGCTTGCGCTGGCTCGCTCGGACCTTGTCTCGGCTTGTCTGCCCCGCTTGAATCCCCACTTTTCTCCCCACTTGTCTCCGTGCTTGTGCTTGGTGACTCGAAGACTTACTTGGCGCGTGCGATGTTTGCTTTCCATGACGCTTTCCTTGCGCTATGGGTTAATTATTCCATGACATGGATAACAAGTCTGCGACAAGACTTGACACTAGCGGGCTACCCAATTGGTTGTCAGGGTCTCCAATGTTTGGCAATTTGTGATCTAACTGAAACAAACTGATGTGCGGAAGTGCTGTTTAAGTTTGGCGCTGGTTTGCTGTGCAAAAGCGAGCCCATTGCAAGGACAATATCCCGGCGAAGGTTGCCCGTCCTGGCTTAGCCAAGCTTCACTGGCCCAGTTCGCACGAAGTAAGGCCTGCCCATGTTCGGTGCGAAAATGGGCATATCCAGCCACCCCACTTCAATCATGGACTTGGGAGTCCCTTTGCGTGTAGCCCGTCTCATCGTCCCTTTGCAAAATTCGCCACGAATCAGGAACCCAGGGGTTGGCCCAAAGGGCCCCAGCTTGAGGCCGCCGCCGCCCAAAGCAACTTGGATGGAAGAGGGCCAAAATGAGGTACCCTCCCA